TATATCTAGGATAAGAATTGAAGACACTGCCATCTCAACTTCTACTTTATACACCAATTGTTTTTGTATATATATATATATATATTATTTTTTTTTACTATATGGTGATGACATTTTTTCAGCCTTCGATATCCTTAATGTTATTCACGAGTTTTCTCTCACCTAAACATAAAATTCATGATGGAAAAATAAGTTGATGACAAATTGTCATTTCTAAATGTTTGTGTTAAAAAGACAAACACGGGCTTCCTTGAAATTCCCTTCATGACCAATGCCAAAAGCTAGGTATTTAAAAGGTGTTATTCGTACAAATAAAATAAGTTCGGACATCAATTGTTTCAAAAAAATCTTAGATTTTACTATAGTGTACAAAACAATTTCCCTTCCACTGTTGTTAATAAAGTAATTGCTTCTTTTGAAAATAAGCCACAAATTGACAAAGAAAATGATTCTTCCGAATATGTCCCTGTTCCTTGTATTTTACCATTCATCTGACGCTATCTAAAAAATCTGGTTTAAAACAGCCAAGGAGTACAAAATCGACATTAAAGTACAATTTACATTTTTACCTAGAAAAAAGCTAGGTCAACAGCTATTCAAAAATTGTATGAATAATGATACTTCGGGAAATGTATATGCAACTGAATGTACAGATTACGAAAGGTGCTTTGTTGGTGAGATAAACAGACCATGGCCGTCTTAAGAATATTTGAGGCCCCCGGGCAAAGCAATGTACTGCTCCCCCCCCCCCAACACATTAAAATTAAGTTTTCAACTGGAAAATTTGCGGCATTTCATTGCAGAAAATTGGTTGAAAGTCTGTGTTTTTGAGGATGTCGCTTTCAATGCACAGGAGGGAAAGCAGGTTCAACTACTGCTGTCCCATTGTGCTGCAAAGATGATTCTTTGTAAGTTTCAACCAGTAAAATGAACGCTCTCCGGTATAGTTGGTCACCATCATGCACATAAATATTCTGAGTGTGATTTCAACACTGGGAAACACAGATTTCAACTTATCTGAAATGAGTTTGCTGTACATGTCTGAAAGAGTCTTGCATTCTTCATCGTAGACAATGTAGTGCTTGAATTGCTTGCATTCATAATTAACAGACACCTTTCTACTCGCTTGCAGGAATACTTAAAATCTCTATCTCATGTTTTTGTTTGGGAAAAATAATTATTTTGATTCTTCTCTGGTAAAAATACTCACCAAAGAAGACAACATTAATAGACAAAAAATAATCCTATTAATAAAAACATAACCCTATTCTTAACAAATATTTATTTATGTATATTTTAATCATTCCCTTCTATCTTTTACATAGAACGAATTTCAATACTTAGACTCGGGTCTAAAAGTTTTATTTAGTATACTTAAGTTTGATAAGTTGACCCCCAGTGGGACGGTGATAAGTCTTTGGATTTACAATGCTATAATCAGGTGTTCGATTCCTCTTGGTGGATGCAGCAGATAGAATGTGGCGTTGCTATAATGTATGTGTCAGAAACATGATGGATTGGAGGTTTGTCAAATCCCCACGAGGGCCTCCACTCTTCCTTCAGCATAGTATTTAAATTACGCAATTGGATCATGGTTGTGTTCTATCAAGAACTGTGTAGAAACTGGTATGCAATGGCTATTCCACAATAAAAGAAGTCATGCACAGACATTTTCCATATTATGGTCACATACTATTGGACAAATAGGTGCTGAGCTAGATACTGCGTTAGTTTTATTCTAATTAAAGGGGTATTTATGTACATACAAAATCAGTACTGTATATGTTATCGGCAACTATAGAACTGTTTATAACAAGATTATATGTTCATAGCGAACGATAAAACCGAGAAACTTGCTAATAAAATCTATGTTTTATATCCATGGTTGCGGCCTGCCACGGTCCACTCGCGTGAGCAACAATCTAGGGGCAATCGTAGCGCGCATGCAGTGTCTGCATGTTAGTAAAAAAAAAAAAAAAAACGATTTTCCTAGCTACTTTATACAGTGAAGAAATATGCGGGCTTTATCGAACAGAAAGCAATTAAACAATATCCGAGGAGATCTAACGTGTACCTGATCCTTCCGTGTCATTTAATCAAATAACAACCAGATAGAAACTGCAAACTGATAGCGAGACTTGGCAACTCTGATATGCATATGAGCGAAAAACAACAGCATAAGACAAAAACAACATCTATGTATACTTGAACATTTATCAGGCTTCGTGATGTTTTCCACAAAATGTATGATCAATAGAAGTATTTAACATTTGTGATACAGATAATGAAATTAACAATAACAACAACAACAAAAACCATAAATAAATCATGTTTTGGTGACCAGTGTCTATTAAATGACAAGGGCTGGCTTTATTTCAATTGTTATTTATTTATAAATTTTGTTCAGTTTAGTTTCGTGGATGGGAGAGTCTAGCTAGACTAATGGACCCTTTGCTGTCCATAAATTTTATGTTATGTTGTGCCATGATAAAATTTGTATTTATTTTTTGAACGCCGTGTTACATATGTGCTCGTTTGTTAATTTTCCGTAAAAAATTCTTTCCGAGAAACTTCAGCAATACAAGTTCTTTCTTAATTAAAACTAGTTTATTCTTTCTCGTTA